CCCCAAAACCCCAAAACCCCGTAAGGGTATCTTTTGAAGATTAAGTTTGGAAGTTGCTATATAATAAATTAAGGATATCATTAATTAATTTAATGTATAAGATCTTAATGCATCAAGCTTTTCTATTCTTAAGCGCCTTCATAACATAAATCTTTTGTCAATGTGAAAAAATGGAAGTCTTACTTGGAGATTATACTCTCAATTAATAAACTTTCGTGGAGATTCAGTTTTCTCTAAATCAATCAATTTCAGCTGGGGATAGTCTTAAGTTTATGTACGGGTCTACTCCTCTAATGTTTAACAAAGACTTGATTGAATGTTAATTGTTTTCAAGAAACGGACTCTCAACAAATTAATTGCTTGTTGATTCTAAAAGTAATGAGATCGAGTGGGGTATTAATTTCTCTTAAAAAGAAGGAATATGTGTGCCTTACAATTTGAAATGAGAAAATGCTAAAACGTCTTAAATCCGATGTATGCCTTCACTTAGCCCCAATCTTTCTTCATATCCATTTAAAACAAGACTTTTCACAATATTTAGACAATACCTTACATAGTTCCTGTAGAACAAGGTTTCTTTGCTAAAATTCAAATTATTTAGTAGGACACTAAATCTAGTTCAATTAAAAAAGGAAACATGATTTTTTAATTTGTTGCTACTACAAATTGTGAAGTACAAGCAAGTTTTATTCTGGATTTTGAATATTAAGGCGAAGTATCTTTGGAGGCTTGGAGTAAATCCTGTGAATTATACCTGAATTAAACCTTATTTCAGACTAATGTGTGCATGGAAAATGCCATCAGTAAGTAAATTCTGATCAATCTTGGAGGATAATTAGATATTATAAACTCTGGAACTAATTTCACAATGATTTTATACGATTATCCACTCATTAGTATTCCAATAAAAGTAAGAATGAAAAGATAGCTTCCAGACGGTGCTTTGTGTTCTTAATCTAATTAAGTAGAACCTTTAATCAGTTTTACTGCGAACTCATTGAGATAAAATGTGACATCAACAACTATGATAATAAACAATTCTACCCGGATATTCTAATTTAAGATGAAGAGCTACTCTAATTATAAAAGATCATATTGGTAATCTTAGGAGTATTGATATTTCTAGTAAGTTCAGTTATTTTCTTGGTAATTAGGAGGAAATTATTGCATTTTATTTAAGCAAAGTTGGTAAATTTACGATAAATTTACTAAAAGTGGAGAAGACACTCCAAAGAAAATAATAGTTAGGAATGTAAAGATGATTCAGAGAGAAGTAATAATCAAACAATTGAATGATTAAAACATATTTATTCATTTTATTGCCAACTTAATCTGATTTTATAAATTTAATTTTCTAAATCAAATATTATTATCACGGGGTTTTGGGGTTTTGGGG